GACAGGGGAAGGTAAGGCAGGCACAAGACGTGTGACCTGTGATTATTGAAGCGCAACCGGAAAGCTGTCTCCGTTTGACCAATATATTGGAGGTCACACAATGAGCATTGGAGCAAGTAGATTGCATTGCTCGTGTTGCAGTCGAAATTGCCTTTTATCCAGAGATTGAAGTTTTACGCAGAGCTCTTAACAATACGCGACGTGGTCATGTGGGGGCACACCTTGCAGCTTGCCTTGTTACATGGGTGACACCCCACGTGGGCTGGCGTTGATATTTTGGATGACGTATGTATCTCTCGTAGGTATTTCGATCGGCGGTAAACTGCTCGTGGAGGCTCCGGGAAGACGTCTTTGAGACGATTTCTCTGGATTAGTATGTTGTAGTGCTTTTCGAGGATCGCGTTAGCATTAGGAATTGACGGAGAATGTGTCAGAATTCATCAAGCAGCTGTGTTTCCGGAACGCAACGGACGCCTCGTCTTCCTCTTGGCTAGACCACATGCCCAGTGGTCCCATGAAGCAATCCTCCAACGCCTACCAACCTGGTTTTGTTGAACTTGCGTCCTCGCCCCGCTCATCTTCACCCCAACGCCACCAAGTGCCCGAAATCTACACCGAGCCACTTGCGCAAGAAAAAGCTACCTACGCCACAGTTGTTGAGAAAGCAAAGAACCAAGGACTCTCCACTCGTGAAAAGTCTGGAAACATTTCTTTGTCTTAACGGTACTCTTTAAGAAAATGCAATCGTGAGAAAAGCACTGCATATTCACAGAACTGACTACTACCGACCTCATTCGACAACCCTATTGAGAGTCGTGCCTTTCTCAGAATTAGAAAAATTGTGGAAAAACGTGTGAAATACAAACTTCACGCATCTACGCTAAACACCTATTTAAACACCTTGACTGTACCGAAAGGACTTGTGATTTTGCTCAAACCACCAACTTTCCAAATGTCACAACGCAACGTCGAGAAATGAAATGAAACGTTAAAGAACGCCTCCCTAGCTCTCATGCGCATCATCATCGACCATTATGATTCTGCTGTCAAAGCGTTGCTAAACAGTGAACGACAGTTGCGCGAGGCTCGTATGTTGGATCCCTCTGAATCGGCTTCGCTTGTTGAACACGAACAAAAAAAACAATTAAAGATTGATCAAAAGAAAGCAAAAAAGTTTTTGCGTGACCACATTACCCTTCCAAAACCACTCACCAACGAAGATTCCCTTCCCGTCGAATCATCCTGTTCTAGACGAGATAAACTATAAGCTAGACCTAACGTAGTAAACGTTTCTAACGTGGTTTTATCTGACTCAGAAACGAGTGTGCTTGCTCGGGGCTTGAACTTCTGTCGAGCTACTGGCGGCTACAATAAATTTAACGTGATAAAAGACTTAGATGAATTCGCGCGCAGTATGAGGCTAAGTGAATTCTTCCATAAACGTTCATCATCCAAGAGTAACATGTTTTCCCATCAACACTTGACGCCGCCAACACAACGCGATAAATTCCTCGATATGTACATTTCTGCAGTTCAGCGTGACATCCTGCAGGCTTATGGGAACCGCATTTCATTCAAAGGAAACCTCAAATTCAAAGAACGGAATGCAGTTAAATGTTTACAAGAACGCACAGATATTGTAATAGAACCCGCTGATAAAGGAGGCGAAATCGTGATAATGAACACAACAGAATACGTTTGTGAAGCTCAGAGACAGTTAGATAATGACACGTTTTACAAGCGACTCAGTGAAAACGCCACCGAAAAATTTAAGGACATCGTTACTGATACAATAAAGCATTTAATACTGGATGACAAACTTCCCGATAAAGCAAAGCACTGATTAGTCCCACTGAGCCCTGTTCCAGAAAGGTTTTACCTATTACCTAAAATACATAAGCCCAATAACCCCGGTCGTCCTATAGTGTCAAGCATTGGCACTGTCACCAAACTATTTCAAACTATGTCGATGGCCTGGTTAGTATATATATTACTTCCAACTTTTCCATCCTATCTGAAGGACACTTCTCATTTCCTCGCTGACATCATCGACGTCGTGAAACTACCGAAAACGGCGTCATCTAACGAGATAGTGTTGTTTTGTTGCGAGTACAAAACTGTGATATGTGAATAATTGTGAAAGCACACAAAACGGCGTGAACTAGCCAGATACTGCGTCTCGTACCGTTACAAGTGCGACACTGCTTTATTGTGATATTCTCGTGAAAGCGCATGCAAGCATCGTGAAACCTTAAAGAACGATGTCATTCAGCGAGATACGGCGTTCTGTACTGTACTTAGTTGGTGAAAAACTGTGAGGTCATACAAATATCGTAAGTGTGAACAAAACAGTGTAACAGAGCGTTTTGAGATACAAGTGCGAAGCTAAGGTTAGGTTAAGTTATGAAGCGTCATAAAACCGCATTAAACAATGTCAGCTATTGAGATGCAGTGTTTTTCACCATTAGAAGTCGGAAACTGCGATATCTAATGTGAAAACGCATGAAACCATCGTAATGTTGCAGAAAGCAGTGTAAAGTAGCGAGAAAAACGTTTTCTAACGCTAGAAGTGCGAAGGTTAGGTTAGGTTGAGTTATGTTATTCTATGCTAGGTAGCGTCGTGAAACTACCGAAAACGGCGTCATCTAACGAGATAGTGTTGTTTTGTTGCGAGTACGAAACTGTGATATGAGAATTATTGTGAAAGCACACAAAACGGCGTTAACTAGCCAGATACTGCGTCTTGTACCGTTACAAGTGCGACACTGCTTTATTATGATATTCTCGTGAAAGCGCATGCAAGCATCGTGAAACTTTAGAGAACGATGTCGTTTAGCGAGATACAGCATTCCGTACTGTACTTAGTTGGTGAAAAACTGTGAGGTCATGCAAATATCCTAATTAGGAACGAAACAGTGCAACACAGTGTTTTACATACAAGTGCGAAGGTTATGTTAGGTTAAGTTATGAAGCGTTATAACCGCATTAGGCAATGTCAGATATTGAGATGCAGTGTTTTTCTTCATTAGAAGTCGAAAACTGAGATATTCAATGTGAAACGCATGAAACCGTCGTAATGTTGCAGAAAGCATCGTAAAGTAGCGAGTAAAACGTTTTCTAACGCTTGAAGTGCGAAAGTTAGGTTAGGTTGAGTAATGTTGGTTTAAGCTAGGTAGCGTCGTGAAACTACCGAAAACTACGTCATCTAACTAGATGGTGTTGTTTTGTTGCGAGTACGAAACTTCGATATGTGAAATATCGTGAAAACACACAAAACGGCGTGAACTAGCCAGATACTGCGTCTTGTACCTTTACAAGTGCGAAACTTCTTTATTGTGATATTCTCGTAAAAGCGCATGCAAGCATTGTGAAACCTCAAAGAATGATGTCATTTAGCGAGATACAGCGTTCTGTTCTGTACTAAGTTGGTGAAAAATTGTGAGGTCATGCAAATATCGTAATTGTGAACGAAACAGTGTAACAGAGCGTTTTTAGATACAAGTGCGAAGGTTAGGTAAGGTTAAGTTATTAGGTGTCATAAAACCGCGTTAAACAATGTCAGCTATTGAGATGCAGTGTTTTTCACCATTAGAAGTCGGAAACTGCCATATCTAATGTGAAAACGCATAGAACCGTCGTAATGTTGCAGAAAGCATTGTAAAGTATCGAGTAAAACGTTTTATAACGCTAGAAGTGCGAAGGTTAGGTTAGGTTGAGTTATGTTAGTTTAAGCTAGGTAGCGTCGTGAAACTACCGAAAACGACGTCATATAACGAGATAGTGTTGTTTTTTTTTGCGAGTACGAAACTGCGATAGGTGAAATATTGTGAAAGCACACAAAACGGCATGAACTAGCCAGATACTGCGTCTTGTACCGTTACAAGTGCGAAACTGCTATTTTGTGATATTCTCGCGAAAGCGCATGCAAGCATCGTGAAACTTTAGAGAACGATGTCATTTAACGAGATACAGCGTTCTGTACTGTACTAAGTTGGTGAAAATTTGTGAGGTCATGCAAATATCGTAATTAGGAACGAAACAGTGTAACAGAGTGTTTTATATACAAGTGCGAAGGTTAGGTTAGGTTAAGTTATGAAGAGTGATAAAACCGCATTAAACAATGTCAGCTATTGAGATGCAGTGTTTTTCACCATTAGAAGTCGGAAACTGCGATATCTAATGTGAAAACGCATGAAACCGTCGTAATGTTGCAGAAAGCATCGTAAAGTAGCGAGTAAAACGTTTTCTAATGCTTGAAGTGCGAAAGTTAGGTCAGGTTGAGTAATGTTGGTTAAGGCCAGGTAGCGTCATGAAACCACCAAAAACGGCGTCATATAACGAGATAGTGTTGTTGTTTTTTGCGAGTACGAAACTGCGATGTGTGAAGTATTGTGAAAGCACACGAAACGGCGTGAACTAGCCAGATACTGCGTCTTGTACCGTTACGAAACTGCTATTTTGTGATATTCTCGCGAAAGCGCATACAAGCATCGTGAAACTTTAGAGAACGATGTCATTTAACGATATACAGCGTTCTGTACTGTACTAAGTTAGTGAAAATTTGTGAGGTCATGCAAATATTGTAATTATGAACGAAACAGTGTAACAAAGCGTTTTTAGATACAACCCTACTGAAAATTCCTACATGTACAGGACCTGTACATACGATGTTATTGGATACGGGGCATACAGGTGTCACGGGTCATACGGCTGGTACGGGTCATGCGGGTGGTACGGGTCATGTGGGTGGTGCGGGTCATGCGGGTGGTGCGGGTCATGCGGGTGGTGCCGGTCATACAGGTGGTATAAGTGTAACAAATGTATGGGTATTACAGGTTATGCAGGTGATATGGGTTGGATTAGCTATTTGGGTCAAAATTAACATGCAGTAAAAGAATGTATACATAAGAAAGGCATGCTAGTTCATGAAGCACACAGTAAAATAAACAATGTATGTAGGTATGCTGCAATGATATCAAATAAACACGATCAGGCTAGAGTAATGTTTTGACGACTCATTTATTTAGGTCGTTCAACATTTCAGCAATGAATCTATTCATTTTTCTTAACCTCTCCATTGGTGCCGTTTCACTGGGTCTCCCAGCAATGTACTTGCTGAAGGCATCTGTAAAAATGAGCAGGAATATGTAGCAATTAGGGACTTACTGGTTCATATATATGATAAATTTTATTGTCCCTAAATTCAGCAAAATATACTAAGCATGAAACACTTACTTCCGACTGCCTCCAATTTCTTAGGCGTGAGTGCCCTCCTGGGTGATGCCTGGTTTTCTGAGCGCACATAGCGCCGACAAGGGGCTCCTGTGATGCTCCTGTTGTGGAGGGCACTCACACCACACAGAAGCTTGGTCGCCTCCTTACAGAACAAGCTGTCTCTCGGACGCGAAAGCAGCCATGCCCATTTTTCCTGCTCCAGGAATATGCCGTTTCCTAGGTGAGTCTGCGCGAAAAAATGTGGAATCATAATAAAAGACTCAAGAGATATCTTGTTTTTGAAAATGTTATGTGCGTTCTTTGGTCGTGCGAGTATAGTTTTGCTGGTATGTATTCAAATAGTTCTGATGAATCTTACAATTCACTTCTGCAACTGCATGCCATCTTGTATAACACTGGCATACTAAACGTTATCCAAATATTCTTTTTCTAAAGCAAATACAGTTCACAGAATGTATGTAAGTCTACAGGTGCATATAGTGCTTATTAATGGCAATACAACACCAGCCTTCACAAGGAGAGTCATTAATTTTTAGATACTAAAAGACTGGGCAAAAAGTGGGGTGGCATAGTAAGTTAGAAAAACATCAACACAATCCCTATTTAGAAATTTTACACTAATGTGGCTCCAGCGAAACAAAAAAGCATTCGTTTCAATGATCAATGAAAAGCAAATCACATACATCATTGCTGTCTTTACGTCTCACCTGAACAGTTTGTGAGAAGCTGTAAGACATTTTAAGAAAAAAGAATATTTACAATTTTGAGTGCTCTATATATGTGTGAAAGTTAAATTAACAACTATGTAACATATCTTACAGTTGTGTTACAGTTGTTAGTAATGTTGAGTCCATAATATTCTACTAAAGACCACCAGACACCCTAAAAGGCACTTAGAGCTGGCACTGACAAAAAGTGCTCTGGCACATTGCAGATAAAAATTTCTTTTGTCAACTCCAATAATGAGGAACTCAGGAATCAAAAAGACAGAGCCTCAATTCATTCCCCTTTTTCCTGACATTAGGACTTGTCACAAAAATATTTATGAAGCTTTTACTGAATGCCGTGACATCCCAAAAAAGGGTAATGCAGAAGATTGCACTGGTCATTCGTGAAATAACCTCCTGAATGTCTAAATTCACCAGTTCATAATTTACAAAATTATCCGTAGTAGATGAATAAACTAAGCATAAACATACAAGGAAGTGAAAGTGCAATGCAAGTTGCATAACCATGTATTCAACCCAGTAGTGAAAGTATTGCACTGAATAAACATAAATTTACAAAAAGTAGAGCTACTTCATCGTTTAACTGAATAAGGGCATGCACACAGAGACGGACACTAGAAGAAGAAAATGCACACAACATAAGCGGTGTTCAAGTGTCTGTATGTGCCCTTATTTCGTTAAAAGATGAACGAATACCAACTACCATAACTATCCAAGCTACTGTAAAGCTACTTACTTGATTGTCCACCTGGAAAAACAGCGGCAGTTCATCACTGGCACCCAAACCCTAAAAGGCAGAACAAAGGAAAAGTCGATCAGCTATAAAAAATATTAGGCACACATATGCCAGCATGGCTTCCAGGTATGAAAGTTAAGCATCATTTCCAAAACTTTTTTTTTATTTTCAGACACAACATAACTATCAGCCCTCATTTGTGCTTTGTTCAGCCCAATAACAGCTGCTGAAACTTTTAACCCTATTGTTTTTCCAGCTTATGCTCCATAAATTGTTAAAAGCCCAATCACTGAGCTGCACAACGAACTGATCAGTGTTCTACATTGTGTTATTAAAACAACCTAATTTTAATCCCACTTAAGTTCATGGTTTATACAGTTTCTAAAACAAAGCTCCCTTTTAATTGACTATCACAATTTAATTCCTGCAATTCGGTGTGTTTTCTAGGCCAAAAACTTGAGCCTAACGTGAAGTTTACCCATCATATTGCTTATGCTAAACAAAAACTGCCTTCGGTGTACAACCCTCATTAAATCTTCTTTACTTATCTCCTGTGATGCCTTATTGTTGCCCTGCTTTCATAAACAGTCAAATCACCTAGCATTATTACATGGGCAAATATGCATAACAATAATCTTTTGCCAATAGAGAACATTCAGAATACACATAATTCAGGACATACAGGAGAACATTCAGGAGAACATTCAGGACATACACATTATTACCAACAGTTCTTTTTACTCTAATGCTGCTCACCTTGTCTAGGCTAACTTCATACTACTTGCATCTGACTTGTTATCACTTAATCATAACGGTATTCAAACTAGCTTTTGTGTGAACTGAGTTATATAAAATGTTCAAAAATAATAATTGTGCAAAGTTTGCCCATAATTACAACTTCCTTACACCTAAACATACATTAACTATGGCAGAATGACATCCTACTTTACAGTGATTAAATTATAGAACTTACTCCACACACTTGAAGAATTTCATCTCCTAAAAATAGCTTGTCAAGAATGTTTGTTAATGCAAAAAGCATATGCAATTGGTAGCTTAAAAATCTTTGTAAATTTACATTTAGGTTTTATGGTGAGTAAAGCTACGTGTACAACTATTATTATGTTGAATTCGACTGAGAGATCCAGAACAGCCGCCCAAGTCTTGAAGCGAGCACACGGCTTACACCGTTTTTAGATACTGTCAGTTGGGAAAGCCCGCTATGGAGGCGGCACCGACTCGTACACGCTCAGAGGGGCGCGGTGCTAACGAAGCTTTGAGAACGAGCTACCGCTGGCTTCCCGCGGCAGCGTTGAATTTGTTTTTTTCCTTTTAGTTTGCTTGCTCAGATTACAGAAGCGGGAACTTGAAGGTTAGATTTCTGTCACGCAAATCGTATTTAACATGGTACACAACAATCAAGCAAGCTTGAGTGAATTAGCAGTTTAACACAGTAAACATGCTGACCTTCAGTGCGCCGGGCTGTCTAAGTGGCTATGCCTATGAGGAAAACACTTGTGATCAGCAGTACTTCTTCAAACCCCCCAATTACCCTACAGTTCTCAAGGACTGAACAGCTGCTATTCCATGAAAAGTCTTGCAGGTAATGGTCAAAACATGCATAAATAATCATACATTTCTTAGGTACAGGCCCGAACCTTATTTATCACTAAGTAGTACAGTCGAGCCCACATATAACGGCCCCACTTAAAACGAACTTTCGCTTCAAACGAACACTATCCGCGGGACCATGAAAATATATATTGGTTCAACGGCACAAAATCGCACTTACAACAAACGTCTCCGAGCGCCACTGATCGGTTACAGCGAACAGTCAGCGGTCTCCCAACTTCCCGGGAAACCAATTTCGACCACCGATCAGGCATCGGCGAGGTGCCTATACATTCTTATTTTTAAACGCTGACCCTGCCCCCGCGAGCCTCTAGTTGCTGCTCCCCAACCCATGAAGAAAGGAAAGTGCCGACTGCTTTTTGTTATGCACCCCTCCGTCCTTTGTCCCCCCGCTACCCTGAGCCAGACGAGGCCCGCGTTTTCACACTGCCACCGATCTTTCGAAGACCGGTCGGCCATCTACCCCGTTTTTAATCGCTGGTCCTGTCGTTGGCATCGCCGGCCTGGAGTGACCAGACCATTTGCCAACATCGTCGGCCACCGACTGCATCCGATAGTCTGCGTCTAGTGCACGGGTGTACGCTACCCCACCGACTCTGATACTTTGTGATTCGTTTCGTGTCAAGGACTTGTTCTCGCTCGCTTATCACTCGACTCGGCATGCCTTCCGCTCACGTGCGGAAGCACGAAAACGGCTGTTAATTTGCGCGGGACGAACAGCGAAATATCGAAGTTTGTGAGGCCACGCAAACTCGCCGGCGCAACAAAAAATTTTTTGACCACGGCTGCCGATTGTTCGAACACCCCCGCGCACTGATCCAGGCGGCCATGCTTTGACTTCTGCGCGCGCAGGCACTCTTTCCAAGTTTTTCTACGTGCGAGTTTCGCGGACCTATCAAGCAAGCTACCCAACCTGCCTCCTTCTCATGCGTTTTGGTTTTCAAGGTCGCCCTTCCTCCGCATCCTCTCCTCTCTTGTCGCAATTTGGAAACTAATTTCCTGCTGTTTCACATGCAGGGGTAGCAGACGACGCTCCTTCACCAATCTCAAAGCGACAGCAGCGCCGCCTCCACCGGATACGAGAGGGGGCAGTCCTCGCGGCTGCGACAGAACTGCGAACCAAGACATATCGGGCCAAATACGAAGGGGTAGACACAGTATGCAGTGCGTGTGGAGAGGAAGAAGAAACTGCCGAACACTTGATAATGTTCTGTAAAGGGCTTCACCCTATGGTTCAGGATGATGGCGCAGAGTTTTTCAAAGCACTGGGGTTTAGGGACCGGGAGGGCAAAATAAACTTTAAGTGGGTAGACTTAACCAGAAGGAGGTTATCTGATTGGTGGCTAAAGTCAAGACACGAGTGAAAATTAAACTCTTCACTGCAAAGTACGAATCCTGAAACTCACTTTTTAAGGAAAAAAAATAAATATAGTTTTTGGTTCATTAGGTGTTACGGCTTGGTGGCGCTAGCCATCGCCCGATCTAAAGGGTACAGCCATATCTATCCATCCATCCATCCACAGCGCGTGCTTACCCAACTGACAGTACCTAAAAACGTCTTACACCAAGCCAAACCTGCCACTGGAACACATGAATGCTGTGCATGGGGTGTCCAGAAGCTGTTTATGCTTACGACACTTAAACCGGCTCCTGAACTTTTTCAACGTAGCCGATGATCTTCGGGCACCTGCACAGCTGGTCGGGCAACTTGTTCTTAAAATTCACTTCCACACACGGTTTGTGGTCGCTGCTGCTACAACTGTCAAAACTTAACCGCCAGTTCATTCAGCAAAGTCAAACGATGCCATTTTTAAAATGTAAAGATATCCATAGGGTGATGAGACACCACCTAAAAAAACGTTGGAGACAACCTTATTCCCAGATCATACCAAAAATGACAGCCCTGCATTGCCGGAGTTCCAGAAAAATCTACCTTTGCCAGATGAAACAACATGGAAGCCCCATTGCGGAGTGGTTTGCTCCGAATCTGCCAGTAGAAAGCGGGAAATTGCTCCGAATTGACTAGGGGAACCCGGCAAGAAAATTTTTATCCTGCTCAACCAGTGCGATTCGACATTGACAGATGGTCACACTGCATTTGCTCAACTTTAAAATACTTGTCTACATACCACTAACAATGACTAGATGTATATTGATTAAATAAACAAACTGAAAATGTACAGGAGGCTAGCTTGACAATATAACCCCTAAATCGGATTGAAAAAAACAACAACAAAGAAACAGCCATTTCAATTATAAAGTACACACCTGGCTGGTAGGTTCTTGAGAACCACTTGAAGTGGTTCCAGGGTGTGGTACCGGTGGCATCAATGGGCATGGCTGCATCCGTGGCTGCTCTGAAGAAGGCGACGGAGGCTCTGGTAGCAATAAGTGCTGCGGCGGTGGCAAAGGCAGCGTTGCTGACCACCCTTGTGGAGACAACGGCGAGCACGGCCATAGTGGTGGTGGCGACGGTAGTGGTGGCGACGGTGGTGGTGGCGACGGTGGCGATGGCTGCATGAACTGCAACGGCCTTGCCTGAAAATGCAAAAAAAAAATCTAAATTACACTTTTGAAGCATACAGCTTTCTTTTTGCAAGTTGAATCGAATTTGTTTTTGTCAGTTTTATAATTGTATCTAACTTGTCTAAACTCACTCCATTATGCTTTTGTCCCTTTGTTTTTGGTGCAATACAGTGAAATCTCATTAACTCAAACATGCTTAATTAACAAATAACAATTCAGGGGACAGTGACAGCTCAATGTATGTCATCTAAAACGACAGTATTATCAACAGCAGTGCCCTACTTACCGAGAAATTGAGGTAAATGCACGGGAACAAATGCGCCGCAGTAGGACGTTCGCGAAATGATCCTTATGACGTCAGACAAACTGCCTACAATTAATCACTGGTAATCAAACTAGCTCACTAAATAAAGAACCTTCCAAGTATCAAAAGACGTAAAAAAATGCTGCTTGTTGAGTTGTTTCTCATGAAAAAAGAACCGCCGGGAGTTACAATGGAGAATAGCGCAAGTGGTTAGAAAATTCAACTTTTTCCTGGTTAAACTAGACAGGCCGTGCCATCTTGAGCCAAAACATGTCTGCCATTTCGGAGCCTATTGTAGGAAATTGATCGATGGCCGCTGTTGCTGATGCGGCTCCTGGTGCTTTAGTTTCGCTAGTAGTGTCGGCGACCGTACAATAAAAAGCCGGGCAACGTTGTGCACGGCAACAGTGACGTGAGACTTTCCGCTTCTTGAGGCGGGTAAATTAAAGTGCACTAGCTGATACAGACCACTAAAACACGATTTTATTTCAAAATAAGCACTTCCTTGGCACAAAAGGCTTCTGGACCGGTAATCCAACAATAAAGGTCGACAACTTTGATTCTCCAGCTCGCACATTTGCCTTAACTGTACTGCTGACATCACTTCAAGTCGACCTATGAGAAGTCTCCGTTAACAAAACATGGCAGCACAGCCATGTTTGCCAAGTCATAGTTGAGTGAGGTTTGTAGTACCATACTGGTTCGATTGTGCCACCATAAAGATATTTCCTCTTTCATAAGTTGTGCAGCAATGTGTGATGATGCACACGGTTGACTGAATATTGCATCGAAATGTTTTGAAATCGGCATGTCTAATCATTACTGAAGCAGGAAAATAACTGGGCACAGCTTCAATCCCCTTCACGGCTGCTTTAAAACAACAGATAACGAAAATCTTCCTTTTCCTTTAAGTCGATTGTATTGACCCGCCACGACTCCCAACAGCTTTCTGCACTCCCAGTTGTTTCGCAAGTGCCTCCGGGATAGGCAACCTTAGAACAAGCAATGACATCATGTGACGTCGTGATGACACGACCAATTTGGGAAACTTATTTCTGATGCCACGACGATGGCATCACAAGTTATTATTTGTCACTTTTGTTGGTGCTGACGGCCACTTTTCGCACTTGATAAAGCATCTTAATGCGTTGTCATAAGCTCATACCTTCTCTTGAATGCTCCTGTGGGTGGCCTCATGTTCATAGGCGCCATGATTAGTAGATGTGCTGCATTGGTGGCCGCAACAGGAACGGCTGGCCAATGTTTCTGTAAGAGAGCAAATGTGAAAAATAAAGAGCGCACATTTCTTAATTGCATCCTGAACGAAGCATTACTTTTTCAGAACTTCAATATATTACAACATGATTATTACAAACATAATTATGTTGTATTTGCTCAAAGCTACACCAGCGCGTCAGGCTGATATTTTGCCCGATTTTACCGGAGTGCTTTTTGCTAAAATCCTCGGGTGCCATAAAACTCTTTCATACTCTGAAGTGCTCCAACCAAGTTGCCTTACCAATTTACTCTCTAGAAAACGTGTTATAAACAAAAGGAAATTAATCCCATGCATAGTGTAGTATACATTCTACTCAAAAAGATGGGTGAAGTTGAGATATTGACTGAAGCCTGTTAGGGTGAGAACATGATAAATTAATGACACCAACCATAAAAAGGAATACGAATAAGACATTTCAGCTCTCATGATGGGAGTCTTGTTCAGAGTGACAACTAGACGGAGTGAAAATATGCTTATGAGGACTTCAAAAGTGACTCAAAACCGCGAGTGTAGATAAGAATGAAGGTTCCATGTGTTATCAATGGTTCAATGTGTTATGTGTATCCATTGTTTAAATCAGCATTGATTGCAAGTGGTGTCCTGAAGAGTTTTTTTTTTCTAAGCTTATGCCGTTATGCTAATCTATTTTATTGCTCAAGTTTTCAGGGTGTTTTGCCATTGATTGATATGTGGGGTTTAACGTCCCAAAACCACTATATAATTATGAGAAACGCCGTAGTGGAGGGCTCCGGAAATTTAGACCACCTGGGGTTCTTTAACGTGCACCCAAATCTGAGCACACGGGCCTACAACATTTCCGCCTCCATCGGAAATGCAGCCGCCGCAGCCGGGATTCCAACCCGCGCCCTGCGGGTTAGCAGCCGAGTACCTTAGCCACTAGACCACCCCGGTGGGGCAGGGTGTTTTGCCAAGGCATTGGAAGACACCTTTACCTCGTTGACATCATTTTACATGCTGTCTGACCTGATGTTCGAAATTTCCAGTCTCACTGATATATACACAATCACAGTCTACAAGGTATCCAATAAGCATCAAGATACCTTTCTTTTTTTGTCCTTCATCTTTACCAGCCGATAATGCAATTTGTAGGAACGGAACTACTTGGACATCGTAATGGTTTTTGAACTAGTGCCTGACTCGCACGCATCAGACACGTACAGTATAGCGGCACGTTATCTTGGGAACACACGATCAGATCTTTGCGGCTGAAAGAGCTGGCGTTTAACCAGAGTTCGAGTAGCCGGATGCTAAGAGATCTCTGTGCACTTGCTGTAGGTCAGCAGCCCCGCTAGTCTGCATTGTGCAGATGCTATTGGTTCTAGCGACAAGTGAGACAACCACCGATATATTCTGGTTTGTCAGTTGCACCAAGTCAATGCCGGTACCTGATGTTGTGTGTTTTTTTCTGCAGACGGGAAACTTCAAACTGCGCTGGTCACATTTGACTAGGACTAGCAAGCGTGTGGCCGCACTTGCTGTCTTCCAGAAATGCTTTGGAGAAAGAAGTATCGTTGATGGCACACGGCACCACACACCAAATTTTTTGGGTGGTTTGTGGCTTCCTCGATAAGTTCCGCTTTTTCAAATAGATGCCGCAAAAAACAAGAAAAAAAAACGAGAAAAAAGAAGCACTGCTCGTTAAATTGGCATGAGGGAACACATTTTAAAAACGACGCTGTTGGTTGGCGCCCAATGTGCCATATTCAATGCTCCTCACTGCTGGAATTCAAAATGGCAGCATAACATTATTGGCAAGCTCCCAAGCAGGTGATTATTCAAACACATTCCAGTTCTGCATGCACAATGAAATGCGGGTAGAAAAGCAACTAGCTCACTATCAAGAAGGTAGGAGTCAGTTACCCCCTGAGAATAAATGTAGAAATGGTGGGTGCATATCTCGCCACACAATGCTAAGGTCACAGCATATGTTTTTTTTTTGCCATTGTAAACACGTCTCAGCTCATTTCGAAAAAAAAAAAGTAACCACATACCCATGCCCTGGATAGTATTGCGATACGGGCGATACATCGTAAAAGTATTTCACTACTGAGATACAAATACATTTTTAAGAAGTATCTCGATACAGCAATACAGACACTCAAAAGTATCTCTGAAATACTATCGCGATACTGCCCAGCCCTGCTCTTGAGACAGTTGTACACTAACAACTCCTCTAAGTGTCAGACAATTCAAACTGTTCCTTATAGTTTTCAAAGGCAGTCCTCTCTAATGGTCGATTCCTACTAAAGAGATTCATTTTTGTTACGGAATTTTTTTGAAGAAAACTAATAGTTCCAGCAGAGTGGGTCATGACGTTATATGCTCCTCCTCTGCTAAGCCGCCTGAATCCCCCCCCCCCGGTACATATGAATATAATGAGAAAGAATGCACTTTGATGGGTGGTGTCTGATGGCATCGTGCCTGAAGCCACAATTTTTTCTGTTACCTTGCTGGAGCCGTCTAGAGTTTGGTGAAAAAGGGTAGGAGGAGCGGAGTCCATTCATACAGAACATATGCTTTGCTGGCTGCTGTTTCCTGCTAGTGCTGCTGTAACTACTGCACTGTCGTAGAAGGAAACAACATTCAGCAACTATCACAGCTGTTTCCATACTAAGTGGCCACTCTCTCACACAAATCTGATTCTATAAAGGGCTGCATTGTTTTGGTTTTCTTAACTCTGATCATACAGTTAACGTCCGATTTCTCGGACTACCGAAATCCTGGACATGCCTGATTTCTCGGACTGATCTGTGGCACCATCAAGTTCCCCATACAGTCAATGTATGTCCAAAATTTCGGACATTTATAGCTTTCACCGTCCGATTTTCCTGCTAACTTTTTACTGCTAACAGCGGAATTGAAGTCACAATCAGCACCACTATTTTGGTTCTTTTCGTACCCTCGAACCCACTGTGACGTGGCTGCCGTACCTTTGACACCGCAAATGCCGGAATCCAGCACACGCCAATTTGTAGCCAGCCGTGGCTTAGACAAACCTGTGGCCACAACTGCATGGTGCTGTTACTAATGTTACTATAAGGCTGTGATTCGGCGGGAAAGCTACGCTGTTGACCTATAGTCTGCCGCCGGCATGCTTCCCGACTCATAGAAGGCGGTAACACAACAGACTCCCAGGAACTGTTTTTGCCACGCCAGCTTTAAAATGTACGCCGAGACGACAGTCTCACCTAGAGAGGGCAGCGTGTGTAAAGAACTTCCAAATGCGGTCGTTGCTTCAACGACCCACACGGTGCTGGTGTTTCGATTTCAGCCAAGATAACCTTGGAGGGCTTTGCCGACGCTAGCGAAAATCTTGAGCTGTGTGCGGAATTTACCGGTGATGAAATCATTCAAGTTACTAAAGGTTTCGACAACTCCGACACATAGATCAAAGAGGCAGAGCCTACACGGGCAACAAGTTCGGTGTTGACGCGAGCATGACATCGTCATAGGTGTACAGTGACAGCATGACATCAGCTGATATTGAGGCAAACATAATCGGGGCAAGTGGAACTCCGTGCAAACGAAAATAAGAGAGTCCTTTTAGCACTTAATTTTTACAAATGCAGTAGCGTCGGTCACATAAAATTTTTTCTTTTCGCTTTTTTTCTATTACAAACTGCTCTTTTCGGGGCAACCTAAATGATGCACTTGCTGAATTGCAACGAGAATCCTGTACTCTTGCTGTGACCTTTTCCGCCAGTGAAAAATACCTATTCAAAAAGTGTAATTTTACTTGCATTCGTTTTTCCAGACTGCCTGATTTTCCGGACCTTTCGCAATCCCTTGAGTGTCCGCGAAATCGGATGTCGACTGTACAACATTAATCCAAAGGGCTATTTCAGGTACTACATCCTTATTGTGGAACAAAAAGCATCGAAATAACATGAAGATGCCAAAGTAAATGTGTTAGGGTACACATAACCACAGCACTCACTGACTGCATGAAAATTTTTTTTTAAAATTCTAAAAGGCAGCATGGAATAAATATAACTTACTGAGTTCGTTTTGCAGCATGTCTTGCAGCTTGTCATTTCTTTTCTCGAGTACTTCTATTCTTTCCTCTAGTCTTTTGTTTTTTTTCTTGAGCTGCCTCGTAATGTTTCTCTCTTTTTCGAGCCGACTCAGTTCGACAAGCTCTTCTTCGGAACTCGCACTGCTTCGGCGCCTCTTTGTTCTTGGTTGCTGATTTTTTTCTTTTTTCTTTTTTGAATGCTAGCAAATAAACACATCAACCCAAAGCCAACATCACTGATTAGAAGCCGAAAACGAGCAAATATGCCAGGAAACATACACGCTCCATTGATACAAACATAATTCAGGTTGTAGCAACTACCTAGCATATGAAGTTCAGTAGGGTTGAAAGCTGGGCTAGTTGGTGAGATATCATTTCAACATATGGTATAGTAGCGCAACTTCGACGAGGACCTGAGGACAAGAAAACACGCCACTGTTTGTGAGACTAGCGAGTGCAGTGTTTTCTTGTTCTCAGTGTCCCCATCAAATTTGCTCTACTACACCATATGTTAAAATGATATGTAGCATATTCCAGCCATGACTAGTGAGCATTCTAACACCCTGTCACACAGCAAATCTAATGTCCTTCGTTTGCAATATCCTTTCTTTGCTGTCACACGGGGAAACTAATGCCATTTGATGAAAACGACCTTTTCTGTGGAACGAGTTCCTGCAACACAATCGCATTCGATTTCTGACTGAGTAGTCTCAATGTCAGGGACTTTTAGGGAAATGGCTATAACTTCAGTATATATACATTTTATAATTTATGAAGATCTCGTTCCTTACTAGCTCAACTTATTACTGGTTTGATGACATGATAGCAGGTGCATAAGTTAAAAAAAAAAATTAAGGGACCCTAACCCCCGAATGCAGAGATGTTACTTGGCTCGCGACTTCAACTTAACTTGAGCAAGTCGGCGCGAAGCAAGCAGCGGACTTCAAAACGCCCAAGTCAGCCTTTGCGTTTCATAGATGCTCAGGCTGTCTTGCTTGGTCAAGTCAAGAACGAGCTTCAAAGCAGAAACACGCTGCTCGCCTGCTAACGAGGGTAATAATGAAGTTGTTCGCGTAAGGCATGCATTACACCAAAAAAAGACCCTACGTTTTAAAATAACTATAAAAACGAAGGGTCACAAGCATATTGTTGCCATTTTACGGCTAACGAGCGGCACGTGGCGCCTGCCACCACAACGATGCGCAGTGTTGCTTCTGTAAAGCGTTCGTTGCCCGCTGGTTTTAGTGGCCACCCAAATGCGGTGCGTTTCTCCACGGTTGCTTGTTTGGAGGAGAAACAAGCATCGCGTTGGGTTCTTTCGTCGTTTTTTTTTTTTCTCATTCGAACGCCATGGCATGTATTTGTGCTGACCTGGCTCACGAGGTGACGCGATTTTTACGATATTTGCCTCTCTGTTCGCATGTGTGCATGCCTGTAATGGGCTAGGTCGCAGTTATTATGAAAAAAAAAAACAAGTTCTGGGAACAAATGTGATTGGTATCCTTTTGTTGAGCTCAATAAACAAGAGAAAAAGCGGGGGTCAGGACATTGCCCTCAGCAGAATTCTGTCTCGCGGGGTGCAGCAATGTATCGCTGCATGATGGTGACGCAGATAAAAAAACCCGTGATAGGGGCACCTCTTTTTTTTGTGTGTGTAATTTTACGTAGCGTTGTGCTACAAGCGATGCCTTTCTGACCGAGAAACAGCGCATTAGACGGGACGAAAGGATAGACGACGCACACGGACACAGCACCAAGTCAATTTTTTTTTTACCGAAAGAGGCGGAAAGTGTCGTCGTGTTATAGAAAAACAGAAATAGCCTTTGCGGTTACGGAACACTTCGGCGTTGTCGACACCGGGGCTAATAATACGCACGTGTGTGTAGTCGACACAACCTGTAACGCAAGGGAACTCAGCCACTTCATAACAGTCCGCCGGCTGCGGAAAGCGCACCAGCATCGCGTACCGGTGCTTTGCGATGAGTAGCGTAACTTTTCCGACTGCACGGCACACTGTCGACTACGGAATGCGGACGAAATTTCCGGTGACTGGTTCGAATGTGCCAGCGCTGTAAAACCTGAGAGCCATCAGCAGCTATAACACTGGATGCACGGGCTGTCTTCGGTTGTCCCCACTTTCACGGAGTGGCAACATAACGAGCAGCTGCCCCACGACGTTCTTCATGAATCTGTACCTAGCGTGGAATTGTTGCTCGTCGTACAACTCCATCGGATTTCCTTGGTCACGTAAAGCGGTTCCGATAATCTTCGGCAGGCAGTGCGCCTCAAAAAATGCTACGCTTATGGCGAGGCAAGCAAACTCAAAAGCGGCCACCTTTCACGCGACGTCCATTCGAGAGGTGGCCATGTTGCAATGACGCGTGAAGTCGCTTTCAAGCTAGCCCCGCAGCTGACTTGAAACTTGTCCTGACTTCGACCGAGCCAAGTCGCCTTCAAGTCATCCGCAAGTTCGAGAACGATTTATGGCGACCGGCAAGACTGTCTTGAGTCAAGAACGAGTCAAGTACGAGTCAAGTAACATCTCTGCATTCGGGGGTAAAGCTTTGTTTTTAGGAGTTGAAGGCAATATGGATATCCTGTTGCTACTACGTGCATCGAACACTTGGTGCATGAAACCTTTTCGAACTTCTTACGCACCCACTACGTGGCCTTAAGGGAATAGGTACAGTAGCGCATGTGCCTTTGGTAGTGGGTGGCCAGTTTTAAACCTCCAAGGCATTATGATAATGACATGTTATGATGCCCGCTAGAAATGGCAGGTTGTACCACGCATTATTACTGCAATATTTCATGTTGCATTGTAAAGCATGTATACAGGATGTGTGTGTTTGTTAAGTATGAAAGGTGATTCCACTGCATTTCCAAGCAGAGGAAGTTCATTCATTGTATTTCTAAACAGATGCGTGGCCGTGTGGTAGAACTTCCGCTTGCCATGCGAACGAACTGCGTCTCAAGAATTTTTATTGTTTATTTTATTTGCATCATTCTCAGTTTTTCAGTAGTGCATAAGATGATTTTTCGCTCACAACCAATGATGCCTATGCCGGAATTTCTGCAAATCGAGCTCTCTAATGCCATAGCGTTAAAAAGAAGCTACTCTCCATGACAGCAGCTGAACGCAGGGCATGTTTCGTTTGTGCCCTGTTGTCATTATTGCCTGTATTGTGGATATTAATCATGTGGTGACCAAGGTGGTGACTACACGAAATCGTTGCTGCCGTCTCATTTCTGCAGCGGGGGAGTAGCTTGTGCACCTTGCTTCAGTTGACTGTACTCATGCCCGGTCATACCATCGGCCAACGGCATTCGAGTGTGTCGTGCAGCTGTGGCAAGTTTTTATTTAAAACGGCCACTTTTTTTATTATAGGTGCACCTTTCCACCCATAAAAATTATTTTTGTGGATACACGCATGTTACATACAAGTTTTATTATATGTTTATTTTTCCCAAAGCCATGGGTCAGGAGGGCTGAGGTCATGGTCATCATTTCAAAATGACATTTGTTTTTGTCATGGGACAGCACGCAGGTAAAATGAAATTAGGTCCGCTTAATGTAATTTGTTGTGAATGGCATTGAATTTGCCATGTGACAAGGGTATAACATCTCTCACATTGCAAAACGTCCCGATAACCACCACAGCCACCACAGTTGCAGTGATATTCGATTTCAAACAGTGCAATTTCCACACACCCCAGACTTGCGCTAAATTGTCGAGAAAAATTCTTAGCTGCATCACAACATCAATAAACACATAGTTACCATGACTGCAACAAAAACAACTATGCCACACCAACTTTTGCCACATAATAGGATAAAAGCAACAACACTAACACACAATGTCATCTAAAAAGCTGACAAATGCATATCTGTGAAATTTAACATAGGTCACTATGTAAATTGTAACCAAAATGCTGGAAGTTGCTGCTCTGTGCCTGCTATTCTCTCTAATGTCACTCTGTGCAAGGCAAAGTTACCATTTGTGTAACAAGCAGCCATATTATGCCTACCTAGCTTAGTGTACACTGATCAGATTTATACACAAGTTTCAAATAAATCAATTACTTTTCCAAAACTAACATTCTGGGTAACTCAATTAGGTTTACTTGTCATTGATTACCAGTTATCACTGACTTTTTCATAAATAATCAAGTTATAACCAGTATTCTACAGCACTTTTTGTCCTAATACCCTGTAAGGACAACCCTCCCCTCTTTGTCAGACAATGGCCACAACAGACTGCACATGCATGCTCCTTTCCTTAAGGCCTTCTCAACTGTTGCGAAAGCAATGGGAGAGTTTCTCAGTATGTTTTGCCACCTATCGGTTGTAAGAGTGCTGCAACCCTGACTTTGCATCTCCTGTGTCCCGTACACATCAGAAGACTGTTGCTCGATATAAAACCGCGAAATGGGAATTGTCCACTGGGAGGGTGATTATTCAAGAAGCTGTAATTTGATCACCACTTCAAAATTGATGCTCAGTGTACACTAGCTGCATTATCTACACATAGTGCCCCGTAAGAAGAGCTCTCCAAGACTTTTGTCCTTTCAAAGAACTTCTGAGCAACTTCCACTGCTATAAAACTGCCAAACACAGTCACGGGGGAACATGTCGTCCTTGTTTTGCAGCTTCATGAAATTTAGAAATATGCCATTTCAATACAGTTATAAGTGCTATAAGTACCAAATCTGGCAGCATAGTATTAGCACCTATATTTGAAAATGCAGTAGTCACTTCTTGCCCAGGTGCCTGATGCAGGTCACGGACGATTTCAAGAAAACAAAGTTTCATGTATGTTACCTTTTCAGTTGTCTCTTCTTCACTTTCTATGTCGTAAAAGACAGTGTCAGGAACTGACAGCCGTTTCTTGCCCATCTTCTGGATCAGGTCACTAAAGGTGGCTACAGAAATTATCAAACGAAATTAAATTTTAGCAGGCCACTAAAGCACCAATGTGGTATGAAGACCACAAATGCATGCAAAGTACAACTACATATCTATTCTACCACAAAAGCTTGGTTCTGCAGAAAGAAAGCTGTGCTGTACATGCATTCGCTTCTAGATGATGCAAGTCAATGGCTGATGGTAAGAGTTATGCAAGTATTTAAACCTTGAGACAAACCACATGTTGCTAGTTATAGCACAATCTCAATTAATTTACCAGGTGATCACATATGAGCTATTGGAACACATCAAAACAATTAGTCAAAGCTTTTGAACGTAATTCAGTCTGTGTGAGCAACACCATTTCTAGGAATGCTTATTAACTGTCCCGCAGTAGCTTTTTGAAGTTTTATTTTATTACCATTGCAATCTATTCCAGAGAAAAAAATATCTAATTATACTAAACTCATCAAAATAATTTTGGCATTGCCATTTACTTATAGCTTCCGCATGCAGCAGTTCAAAGATCTTGTCAATTGAAATGTCTAGGTGCAAAGATTGCATCAAGTTCAAACTAGAACAAGATAATCAGAAAATATGTGTAGCTCAGCTGATCGCAAGTTGGGCATTCAGTTCAGTTTATTACCTTAAAGGCCCCCCTTTCTAGGAGGAGCATTACATAAGGGGTGGGGTTTTATTTAGGTTAACAATAAGCAGTAAGAGTTGTTTTAGCATTGAAGATGATTAATAATACGATCTTGAAAGGCAGATGATGACATTTATGGCGTTGTTACAAAGTATATACCCGCATTACCGAACAGGCCTAACCAGCCTGAACTGCCTATATGCCGACGGACTGCACGCTTTAAATTACTCGACCAGCTGCACAATATAACATTCCAGGGACATTCTAATTATCTTTGCGTCCACCGGGATGACTGTCACTGTGAATAAGTGCACAATTTGTCTTCTGGTTTTCTACATTACAGAATGATCACTTGCTCGCTGTTTTTCCTGCTGCGCACGTGTTTTGATTAAGCCCAATTGTGGTGCGTTTGTGGACTGAAAGACTGCTGAAACATTCCAATGACATTTAGAGTATACATGAAAAATGTTTTGCCTCTTTGTATAGCAGCCCGCAAGATCATACCGTATTCCAAATCATAAATTGAGTGCCCGAGACGACCACCACGTGCACACGAAAAGAGCTACGTAAGCTAATAAGCATGAACAACTTAGCAGTAGTTGCGCAACCACCACCAACGGGTCAAATAAGGCACACTGAAAACACAGAAGCCATTCCGTGCGTCTTATTTTGACTACGCACCGAATAACGCACGTGCAAGCAGCGACGTCTGCCACACATTTTTCCTGTATTGTAAAACGGATTCCTAAATGCCACCAAAATTAACACCTCAAAGAAGACAGAACTCACCACCAAGGAGGATGACGTCTCCTCGATAATACCCTTCGTCGACGTGCCCTGCTTCATTGGTCTTCCAATATATTTCTTTGTGTTTTTGGCAGTCAGCCACACTCGCCGGCTTGAAGTCCTTAATGAGCTTCACGCTCACTATAGCCCGGTAGCCATCGTCGTAAACGACGTAGGCCACCTTCGGTGCTGCCGGCATAATTAAGCGGGAGCGCAAAATCAACACTCGCCTTCAAAAACAAAAAAGAAAGACTTCAGGGACTACTGCCGTGGCACGTCTCACAGGACTCATCCAAAACATCCAGTACTTCAAACGTAGAGTACTGCTCTTGGATTGGCTAAACTGAACAAGCCAACGACCTGACTTGAAAAACGTTTAGTGTTTGTGGCGCCACCTTTTGTGTAAGAAATATACCATAGTATGTGTATTGTGACGTAAATGTGCGCGTAAAATAGTGCATTTTTGCCACTAGATGACAAACATACTAGTAAGTTTTTAAAAAGAAAGGATTGTGTTTGAGTTTTGATGATTTGGACTGTTGTAGAACAATGTAATCACAACTCATTCAACTCGAAAGGTCTGCTTAGTATTTTTAGTTTACTTACCTGTATTGCTTCTTGAGGGTGTTTTTTACTTCTATTTTGAGAAAGGGCTGGTGGGTTTGTGGGGCGAACATGTTATAAGGTAGCGTTATGTTTAAGGAAATGAGTTACGATACCAGCTGGAACATTACAAAACTTGTAGTTTGCTCGGATCCAAAATGCGAACACACGCCACATCTACCGCTTAACAGGACACTGGAGGAATAAATAAAATGTACTTGATTGCATCTTTTTTTTTCTTGCTTATTTTTCAAGACGTTGGTAGACGTGCGTGTTTTACACATCACCCATAATGTTATTTATGAATATACAGGCACGACAAGATAATACCAATCAATTAAGGAAGAAACCAGCCTATAAACCACTGCACTGCTTTTATGCGATATTCACTGAACGACACAATAAAAAAGAAAAGCGCACGGCTTGCTATAATTATCGAAACGATAGGCATTCGCATATTGGAAATGTAATTACGGAATGATAACACTCGCAATAACAATATAAATGTTGGTGTTTAACGTTCCAAAACGATGACAAATGAGAGATGCGCCTTAGCGGCGACCACATGGAATCAATAAACGTCCACCGAAATCTAAGTACAAGGGCCTCAAGCATATTCGCCTCTACTAGAAATCCGGATTCAAACGCAGACCTTCGGGATCAGCAGTGGAGCAACGGGAAAGAATTGATGCACATGCCAGACGGCATGTGAATGTCCACCTTCGGGATTGTATTAGGCTAATTTAGGGATAAGTATTGAGTCCATCTTGGTAGGAAGTGCAGCCACTATTACACAGGACACACAACACAAGCGCTTATGTTGTGTCTTCTGTGTAATAGTGCCTGCACTTCCTACCAAGATGGATTCATGCCAACTGGCCCGATACAATTGTTTATTGACTTACATTTCTAGTTCGGTGGGCTCTTCATTATTAACGTCTCTTAAGCGCTTGTGTTGTTTGTTCTGTGTAATAGTGACTGCGCTTTCTACACAGATGGATTCATAAGAACTGGTCCGATACAATTGTTTATTAAGTAATGAGCCCGTCTTGAAATATCGGCATATAATTTCGACTCGGACGCGAAGATCAGAGCCAACATTGCCTTTATAGAAACCACATTCGTCGCGACATAATATTTCTATCTCGAGTACTTGCGCGTACAAGCCGTCAAAGCAAAAAAAAATAATAATAGCACGTTTTATCCCGTGAGTATACTCATGTGAGTAACATGTACATGTACTTCAGATCGGCAAAGGAGGACCAACAGTAATGCTGCAGCGATCGATGGTGCCCTGCGGCATAACTAAAATTGAGATAGTTGCATGTCGACATTGGCCAGCAATCACGTCTGCATCTTTACATGTTAAATTAATGCAAATATATGCATGTGCACAGAGGGCAACTATAAGCGGCAACATTTTCTTACGTCAATCTCCAGCGTGTTCACTATCTCAGGTTATCCGAGGTGTCTACCTGTACCCAGGACCCAGGATGCAGCCAAAGATTTCTTTTGGGGTGGGGGCAAGAGTTTGAACCCCCCCCCCCCTAGCTTCTGCAGTGACCTGCATGGTAGTAATGCAGCTGTGACCTGGGGTGGCTCGAGCGCGTGGAAAGTGGATATGTGGGCTTGAAGCATTGCGCTCAGAGAACTGCAAACATGGAGAAAAGACGGATATACAGAATCGGTAGTGTTTAGTGATTTTACTTAGTCCTTTTTCCGGCTCTTTTAGTTGATTCAGCGGATAAACTTTGGGGTCAGGTTTCCGGGAAGTGCTGTTGAGACATGACAAATTTCGACAATCGACAGCTGCCGGTGGAAAATTCTCGTTTCGGAGCTGGCTCTTTATACAGAGGCATTCAATGATGGGCTTATGAAGGAAAGTACTTTTAGGTAGCCATATCAGTGGGCAATAATAACAGTTATGAGCAGACCATTATTTTATGAAACTCTAACCATGGACAGACAATCTCTCGGTCCCGTCCTTTGTTAAAAAAAGTCTGTGCAGTGATAAACTTGCAGATAACAAAAATAGTGCATTCCTTGAAGCGACTACTTTTATGACCACCTGTTACGTGCTCTACATAGCAAAAGTACACGTCAATTGCAAGAATCTAAACACCACTATCTACCACAGCGCCAACTTTTATTTAGTGGGTTGCTGATCGTTACATGTTTTGCTTTTACATTGTCTGCATTCCGCCACTATGTTTATTTTTCATACGTTTACATTCCAGGCACTATACCGACTATATTGCTACTGCGGTTAATGCTGTCATTCATCCGTCGTCATCCGTATCGTTACCTCCACTATCGTATCGTGGTCTTCAGTTGTGCTTTGCTTAGCTAGTCATGAGTCAACTAACTGCAAAGAAACGTCGAAAGCTGTATTTAGGACCAGACATTGAATTTGTAGTACCCCGTTCGACGCGATGGTACAGCCAGCAGTCGACCAGCAGTGCTTCGGCGACCGCTACGACTCGTCTCGCGGGTGTTTTGAACTCGCCACCAGACAGTTCTCACGCGTCCCAGACATCACCAGGAGATCGATGTCTCACGGACGGCTGTTCTGTTGACACGAGTTCTATAGGAGTACGAACAGAGGTGCCAGAAGGAAGCGACGACTTTTTCAACAGCGCGCATGGCGTAGGCGACAATGCATACCAAAGCCCCGAAGAATGCCCTGACAACGAAAGCAATCATTCAGAAAATGACAGTGAAGACGGTGACACTCGACCTTTCCGAGATACAGATCAAGACCCAAGCTCCGGAACCGAAGAAGATAGTGGTGACTATCTTTGTGGAGACGACGCTTCTGTAAATCGAGACCAAAACCCTGGAGCCGAAGGAGATATTTCTGGCGACCGTAGTTCTGTGCCCTCGTTCGACGAATCAGAATTGCTTGCCAGATGCGTCGCGGATTTTGGAACAAAAACACTTCCGGGATCAGCAACCACAATTGCAGTCGCTATCGTTCTAATAATGTCGTTCATAGCGGCTCACGGCCTTTCCTGGTCTGCTGTGGACGACTTGTTGAAACTTGTGGAAGCCTTGTTCGGTTTCGAAAAGTGCGGCCTGCCGCAGTCGAAATACCTACTGAGGAAATTGTGGTCCACGAAATGCGATTCCGTCAGCAAATACCATTATTGCTGTAGTCAGTGTGGCAAGCTGCTCGACATTTCTAGCGACAAAATCCACCTGACTTGCAATGTCTGCCAGAGTACTGTGAAGGTGTCGGACGTAAAAAGCGGGGGCACATTTTTTTCCATTCTGGATGTTGGAATGCAACTTTCCAGCACTATAGAAAGTCTCTCTGGTGTTTTGTTTGAGAACCTCAGCAAGTTGAAGCAGCAGGCAGAAGTCGGATGCCACTTGATTCGTGACATCACTAGTGGCATGATGCACCGCACTTTGCGAGAAAAGGGTGTGTTAAGGTGGAGCGATTTGACTATTACCTTGAACACCGATGGCAGCCCTTTATACAAATCATCTAATTCCTCAATATGGCCCATACAAATGATAATAAATGAACTTCCTGCGCCCTACAGGTATAAGAATGTTATTCTTGGAGGCTTATGGTACGGACGAAAACACCCCAACATGCTGGTCTTTCTGGAGAAGTTTGTTGAATCCTTGTGTAGGACTGGCGAACTTATTTGGAAATACTCTTCAACTGTTATTCACAGCAAGATTTACACCATCTGTGTCTGTGTTGATGCACCGGCGAGGGCAGCAGTTGGAAACCAAGTTCAGTTCAACGGCTTTTTTGGCTGCCCGTGGTGCCTGGCTTGTGGAGAAAGCCAAGAGGGTAAGTGCACGAAAATTCATAAAGCAGAGTGCCTAAACAAGCTTTCATAATGCTTGAGCATCATCAGTAGTCTTTTTTTCAGGCAATTCGAGAATGCCCAATAGTTCTGTATGAGGAAAAGTGTTTGTGTGGCGTAAGTACACTTTGCAGCTGCTCACTGTTCGTTCAGTGTGTGGGAGTGCAAAAAAGAAAGAACATGTTGCCATTTAGTGAATATTCTTACAAATGCACCTACATGTGTCTTCTCTGTGCGCAAAATTTGAAAAAAATAATTCAGTCAGTGTAGGTACTACCGAAAGAATGTATGTCGAATATGGCATTTGAGCAGTATGTGCTCATTGTGCCGATATTGTCAAAAGGCATTGTGAGCAATATGAGTTGAAATACCAAATTGATGTTTAGTCAACGACAGAGGCATAGCCAGAAATTTCTTGGAAGGAGGGAAGGTAGTAAAGTCACATTTTTGAAATGGTAATTTTTTTGTTTTGTGCCACAACAAAATAAAATTTCCCGGGTCGTGCACAGGTCCGGTGCTCCACCCTCTAGCTTGTACAGAGGTGAATGTGACGTAAGCGCAATAATATTAACAGTAAATATAAGTACATGTAGTATTTAACATCCTAAAAACCATATGAAAATGAGGGATGCCGTGATGGAGGGCTGTGGAAATTTCAACCATTTTATGTTCCTCTAACCTGCACTGGGAACACACAGGCCCCTACCATTTTGCATCCATAGAAATGCAACCACTGCAGTTGAGATCGAACCCGTGACACTATGGCGTTGCTAAAGATATCGTTTCTCTCTATAGAGCAGTCAATTTCATGAACAATTTTGCACTCACCAACTGCATTTAAACAGTAATATTAGTGTTGCATCTCATATTGCTTATGTCAGTACATATATCTACGGTATTATGGTCACCTTTGCGCAAACACTTCACAACACCATCGGCAACTGTAAAATCCAACACCTGCTGTTAAAACGAACAAAGGGTGGTAGATGGTCATCATTTGTTGCTTCTAGTGGGGATGAAAGCTAACTGTCTAGATTAGGTATCTCATTTTAATAAATTGAAACTGTACCCTCTCACATTCTCAACAGAACCTCGCCTTTGCTCATTGAGTGTTCATGAACATGTATTCCAAATGCATCCGTGAATTTCATTGACTGATCCTGGACGTTATCTAGGAAGCTGACTTGAATCCTCCTTTTTTTTTATCCCGGCTGTGGCAGCTGCATTTCCGATGGAGGCGGAAATGTTGTAGGCCCGTGTGCTCAGATTTGGGTGCACGTTAAAGAACCACAGGTGGTCGAAATTTCCGGAGCCTTTCACTATGGTGTCTCTCATAATCATTTGGTGGTTTCGGGACAATAAACACCACATATCAATCAACTTGAATCTTTTTGTTTTAATCCATGCCATATAGCAAACGGGTGAAAAAAAAAGAAAAACGATACTTTAGAACCACTCAGCTGGTTCAACAGTGGCACACATAAACACTTGACAGCGGAAATCACAGACACTATCGAAGGTGAACACAGAAATTCACGACTGAATACACTGCAATATGCTGCATCTTGCAAAATTTGCTTGATTTCAAAAGTGCTGGCACGGTACAGGTTCAAAGGTAAACGTGTGAAGGCAGTGTGCTTGTCATGGCAGTTGTTGGGGCGTACCCACTTTCCCATGAACAAGTAGCTTGTGCGCCTGTTTGGTGGTGCTTGTGCCCTTAAGGAATCTCTATAGCATTTACTCAGTGAAATACTTATCTTGTTTCTGCTTTATTTCATTGCAGGGCGCCTAATATACTTGAATGCAGAACCTGATGTGGAGAGGACGTCAGCAGGCATCCGAAGAGACATGACCCTGGCATCTAGACTAAAGACCCCAGTCAATGGCTTGAAAGGGGTGTCACCACTGGTGAAACTCCCACATTTCGACCTTGTGTGGGGCTATACAGTGGAGTATATGCATAGTGTTCTGCTGGGCGTAACAAGGCAGTTTGCTGAGTATTGGTTCGACTCGTCAAACAGCAATGAGCCATACTACATGGGTGAGTGCACCATACACCTCATGGTTGAAGTATTACGGATAAATATTTTAGAACAGTGCATATGGCCCACTTTTGTATTGCTGCCAAATTTTTGACATACATGTGTTTGTATGATGCCGTCTCATGTACACTTTGGCATCTTCCCCTATTTGAAGGTTTGCTTGCTTGAACGGGCGATACTTTTTTTTTCTCGAAAGCTTCTTCTGGAAAATGATGGAAATCGGTATCAGAAAAGCCTGGCATTTGACCAATGTAGAAAATACTGTAGTGAACAATGGCACGTAGTCTATGGATAAATCAATCTAGGTCCACGAAACCAGCCAAGGCTTTTTTCAAAGTGCCCCTTCTAGTGTTCAAATGTAAACAGCACATTGTTTTCTCAAACAAGAATACTAATGCCACCTAGCGTAATGTCTAGCTGTAACAGGAATGTTGTTTTGGGGATTTCACATGCCAGAATCACCATATGGTTATCAAGCACACCATATGATTATCAAGCCTAGTTGAGGTTTCTGGAAATTTTTACTACCTGGAGCTCTTAAAGGAGCACTGACATCAAGTTTACTCATGTCCAGATTTCCGCGTCAACGAGTAGCTATCGTCCCTTTAGTAGCTATTCGCGACCTAAAACGCATCTGAGGTACGAATGAATATCTGTAATATTGATTTATATATCTGCTATCGATTGAGGTTCAAAATGAGTCGAAAGCCGTCAAATTGTAGTGCTGTCAGCGCTACCTCGCGGCCACACCTAGGCCGCTGCATAGCTGATGTTGCTTTCACAAAAAATGGTGACGTCACGCACACTGGCGTTTCGTCTGCTAGGAGCGCACGTGCAGTCAGTCCAGCTGTGTCTCTGATTATGTAGACTAAAGCCTCTCCATGCATTTTTGGCCGGCTAGCTTAAGCAGTGCCAACTCGTTCTTCCCCTCTTCCTTTAGCCCCGGCCCTCACAAGGAGCCTCATACTGCCAGTGAAACCCACCTTATTCACCAACACAGAATTTACCCTGGAGCAGCTCGGCGCAAAGTGAAGCGAGCAAATGTGGCTATTCTTAGGCGTCTAGTCTCTCTGTCCATCAGCGCATCAACTCACTGGCTATGTTGAGGTTCGTGGCTTGGAAAGGCATGAAACGCCACGCTATTTCTTCTTTTTCCACGCCTCGACGTGCCGGTTGTCACTGCGCAGCAGTTTCTCGACATTCTGGCACGTATTGTCACATTGAATGATAGTACTCATGCTGCGGAACACATGCCAAATCAGTCGATGCAACACTATGAAGTGCACGCACGCTTCAACACAGCAAGGAGAGTCAATAGTGAGAGCATGGCTGGGAGTCGGCTCCAAACACACTCAGATCGTCGACGTCATTGTTACTAGCGTATCGTCACTCAGGGTGGTATTTGTGGAATGTATCACACCGAACACGCAGCTCTTGTGTTGATGTCGCAGGGCAGTATATTTCCAGTTTTCTCTCCTTAGCTTGTCTACGCTGTTTGACATCGAATTAAAATAACTTCCTCGCATTCCATGCCATTCAAATTTGGCCAAAAAGGCCTACTCATACCAAGCGATCAAATCATGGGCATATCTTGATCTTGAAATTTGATGTCAGTGCTTCTTTAAGCATGCCCTGATATCATGCAGCACTTGCACTTCTAGCACTTCGCCTTTGTCAAAATGGTACTGCTATGCATGGGATCAAACTCATGTCTATTGGGTCAGCAAACAACACCGCGTCCACTATGTCACTGTCCGCAGCAGTAACATGAATGCATGAAGTTGCCATGTAATGATGTTTTTAGTGTTGCATAAAAAGCTTCCTTTGGAATGCTTCAGGGGACCATTAAATCATATGGAGAATTTCTTACTAGTAGTTGACTAGAACTGTTTGCTGCCCCCCTACAGGACGTCCAAGCACATTGAGGGTGATCAACAAACGCCTGCTGAACATTCGTCCTCCACATCATTTCACCCGGCTGCCTCGCACGCTACGAGAGAGGTGCTATTGGAAGGCGCACGAGTGGCGAAACTGGCTGCTATTTTACTGTTTACCATGCTGCTACCCTGTGCTACTGCCAAGATATTTCCGCCACTTCGCCCTCCTGTCTGAGGCAATTTTTCTCTTGCTTTTGCAAGAGCTGTCATCTGACCACATTGATCGTGCAGGTAAGAACACGTTGACAACTGAAAGCGCAATCACTTGCATTTTACAAAACTGTCTTCAGTTCACAGTAAAAAACAATCGTGCCATTGAAAGAATAATCAAGTTCTCAAGAAGACTGTCTCTATAAGAGGTGATTTGAAATGGCCTTTGATGTTAGTGGGAGACTCAGAGTGAAATGGGAAAGGAATTGTTTTTTTTTTGTTGTCTGCTGAGGTTTTGAACTTTGAAGGCTAATAACGTCCTTTACCGTGTTCCAATTTCGATAATTCTTTTTGTGTTCATCAGTATTCAGCACTACACAAACTTCAGTGCTGCAGAATTCAGAAGAAAAAGCGTTGCAGACCCCTTCCTTTTAGAGGGCTCGTAAACCACCGAGAGGTCGAAATTCAATTGTGGTGGGGAATTGTGAACGAGTGTATGACAAACACGGAGCTGTGAGAATTTTTCGAAACGGTGCTGTAATAGTGGAGTTAGACGCGTTTGATTATCGAAACCGTGACGATCATTCCTTTCGTTCTCTTCTACACTTCCCTTCATGGTATACTCTCCTAAAGCTGCTTTACCCTTTCGATGAGCACCCCTCTCTTGCTCCTCTCAATCTCACCTGGCATATGTCAGTGCTGACGCGCTGCTTGAAACACCGTCTACTTGCAGTGGCCGGGACTCCGTGAGTTGCATTGTAGCTGTGTGCTTGTTACGAACGAAATTTTCAGAAGCATAAAAAGGTTAGTTTATGGTCCCCAGGTCCAGGAAAATGGCCTATTTTGCGGCCTTGTGAACGAGCTCAGAACGCGCCCCTCTGACTGCGATTCGACACTGAGGAGTAGCTGCTGGTGAAGCAAAAGAAAAGCATCCAACAGCACTTGACCACCACTGGGGGAGAGGGAGAGCGAAAGCTGAGAAGACGATGTGGCGATAGGGTCAGTCGCAAGTTGCCCTCTGTGTCGAGATTTGAAATGAAATGAAATTAACAGATTTTCTTTCTGGAGAGAATACAGAAAAACGAAGTGAAGCTAAAGGCCATTCGGCCTGACGTGGCTTCGCTACGCGAAAAAATTTCAGCAAACAGTGCTACATTGAATAATAATTATCACAATACAAGGAGCAGCATAATAATAGAAACACAGAAATAGCATAAAAGCAAAAATAGGTGGTATATAAGTACAAAAAATAGGCTGCATAGACACAGAATCAGACATCGAGGCTCTTTTCATTACATATTAAAAAAAAAACACATACGTATTGATATATTCATATAATACACTCGCATATTAATACATACATGTGCCCATATGTACGTACATACTACTGTATATACACGCGTTTTGTACCCAACGGTGAGAGCATATGTGTAACCTAGCCAGAAGTTTATTGAAAACATGATGTTTAATATACTCAATTAATGAGATGTTTTATCTGATATTTAAATTGTGTTAATGAGAGGTTAAAATTTAATTGTTCACCTAAATGATTTATAAGCTGTGGGGCGTGGTATGCAATCAGGGCTCTGCCATATCCAGTCCTAGTAGCAGGAACGCGAAATGGTTGCCTACGGAGCGAGTATTTGAGTGCGCCTTCCGGTGCCGTAGTAGTGTGGAGTTTATTTTTATAAATGTAAAGTTATAGCTTATATTCATACACCTGTCTTGCTTTAAGTATACCATGTTTTATGAATAATGGACCGCTAGGAATCTCCCTTGCGTTGCCATAATAATCATTGAATAGGCGGAGAACTTTCTTCTGTGAGATTTCTAGTTTATTTAAATTCTTCTCATTTGTAGTGCCCCATACTAGCATACTATAATTTAAACTGGGTGAATAGCCACCATGTCAGAGGCTCGGCCTGGTGTAGTACGCACTGGTTCGCATGTGTTTATGTAGACATATACGTAAGGCATATCGACGTGAGGCATGTATTGGCTAATAATCGCAATGCCCTTGTGTGCATAAGGGCGGGGGGGTGCAAAGCCAGCCCTAACATTGATGTAATAGAGAGGAAAGGGGTCTGTGACTGGGGCGGGGGGGTGCACAAAGGCAGCCCCGTAAATTGATGTATTTGGAAGGGGATGCTGCTATGAACTTTCACCCCCCCCCCTCTACTGAAAGATAACTCCTGTGTACACCTGTGATGCTCTACACAATATTTTGAAATTCTTGTCACCAGTGCGTGATGACGCTTAAAGGCGAACTTGGGCATTTTTGCGATATTTATAGATTTCAACAAAACACTTGCTTCGTAATGTGTATTTTAGGCCATTCCACTTTTGAAAGTATTTAAATACAGCTTTTTTAATATGTTCATCTCTTCACTGGTGGCTTATGCGCAGTAAATGTTACTTCTTTGAAACAAGAGAGGCTGCATGAAAAAGGTGTTGTAATATTCTATAGCATCGTTGAGGAAATAGTTGTTTATTGCATTTTTCAGGACGGCTTCTGACATCCTTTGTATCCCAGGCAGCCGGGCTCTATGGACAGCGATGTATGAGCTTTAATGTGCATCAGCTTCTCCACCTGGCTGATGCTGCGAGACAGTTTGGTCCTTTGTGGGCCCATTCTGCTTTCGCATTCGAAAACAGTAATGGTTACCTTTTAAAACTTGTTAGTGCTGCAAAAGCTGTGCCTGCGCAGGTGCTGGAAAGAGTAGTGATGGCACAAGAGCTCCAGTTATTGCTTGCAGGGCTTCCATTGCCATCAAAAGTGCTCAGTTTTTGTAGTAACATGCTCGGTAACCCAATCACTGAGCATGCACGGCACATTGGAGCTGCATGGTTGTTTGGAACACCGAAACAAGTTCCTTCTCTCAGTCATCAGGAGTCTTCTTGCTTGCAGACATGGTGTGGACAAGTTCCAATCGTTCAAGAACATTTCAGATTTTCTATTTTGGGCACAATCTTTCACAGTGAATCGTACAAAGCTGGAAAGAAAAACAGCTCTGTGTTCGAGAGCAAAACTGGAGGCTTTTATTCTATTAAAAGAATATTTGAGGTGACAGATCCAACTTGTGCTTTAAATGGTGGGACTGTCCTTCTTTGCACAAGGATAGTTGCTGGCAACAACGTTGCAGGACTCCCGCCACACATTTCCGACTGTTTTTTTTCTTTAGTGTATTCGCTCCTCCCTCTAACTATGAACGACATTGGCAAAGCATGTGTTCTGGTCTCTTTGAATGACAAAGAAGACTACATTTGTGCAGTTCCTAACATGGTGGAACGTGACTAAGGTTACATTAATTTCACAGGCAGACACAGAAGTGGTAAAGAAATACATTTCAAAACCACGATATGATTATGAGGGATGCTGTAATGGAAGGCTTTAAAAGTTTTGACTCTTCGGTGTACTTCAATGTGCACCTTAATCCAAGCAAGTGGTTCAGTAGTTTTTGCCTTTATCAAAATGCAGCCGCCGTGGGCAGCATATGATCCCGTGACCTCTTGGTCTGCAGTCGAGCATCATAACTACCAAACCTCTGTGGCAGATGAGAAACATATCCAGTTAAGGCAGGTACACATTGCTGCGAACCACACAAGTAACTGAATGAGCTGCTTTTGATATGGCAGGTTCGTTCTTGTCATGAATGGTAGTATGTGAACTCATAGATTACTTTTATTTGTCTCTATATGAGCATGTTGTGGCCAAAAACGTTGAACAGCAGCTCGAACAACATCGTACATTGAGGCGTTCCATATGGCCTGGCGTAAAAGTGAGTGTGTTGCTCCAAACACAGTAGTCACTTCGTGGTCTTGCGAAAGGTCCTGAAAGTAATCTAAGATAGATTTGTCCACCCATGCTTGTAGGAAGTTCCGGATGGCTGAGTAAAAGTTAGTCGTGCCTAGCTGGCACGTGCAAGCTGCAGTGAACTTTCAGTAAACGAACATCTGTATAACATGGAACTCAAAATTTTTTTGATTTCTTGATCAATGTTCATGAAACTTGGTCAGTTTATGTATATTTGTGTGCTTACTTCAAATATGTAATTATTTTCTTTTGTAAAGTGTACTTTTTAAAAATACAGAATATTTTGTTTGCCTTTCAAGGAGGCAGTTTTCTTTCTGAACAAGAGTTTCTGAACAAAGAGAGGTGGAGTGTAGTGTCGGGCAGCAGCAGCATAGCTCATGGCTTGGGGTTGCGGTTGCGATGTCTCAGCGATATTTATTGAGAGCCGGATTTTCTGTCTGACAATGTCTGCGATCGATGAAACTTGTGGCTGGCATGACAGAAACATTCAGCGAAGTTCTTCCCGCACTACGGCCATAATGGTCTTTCGAGCCTTGTTTTGTAGAGGTTCGTACTCTGGTGGTAAACATTGCTGCCTGCGGCTTGTTCGCTGCTTGTGGCCAGCGTGGGTGTCTTCACCGCGACGTGGAATGGGTTGACGGCTTGACGGGGGAGTCTAGCACATGAAAGAAGCAGCACCTCCACCAGATGTCACGGGGGCGTGACGGGGACAATGGGAGCAGACTGTGATTGCGAGATGAAACTGTTTATTCGGCTGAACTTGTGGCCCATAAACTGAAGGTCAGATTACAGCGATTCCCACTGGCTCTGATAGCAGTAAACAGAAAGTTGGCCGTTGATTAACTGGCAAGTGGTGAGGTGCATCAGTGTTTATACATTTGCCATCGACTATTCTAGCATTCTCGTTAGCAGTTACCTAGGTTCCAGAATATTCTGCAATGTTCCAGAAGTGGGCGTAATCTTGACAAAGTGATCTACTGCAGTCTTGAAGCTTCTTGAACATCGCAGGTGCTGTTTGTGCTGAGAATCACTGGCAGTAAAGTAGTGCAATAACAAAACTTGAGAAAAGAATATGGCAATACAAAACAAATTAACAGGTGATGTAGTTCTGTAATTTGCTCAACAAACTTTTGGAAAAGCAGTATGTAGAGTAGTTCGAGGTTTCAACTATCAGTGGAACAAAATTTTTTAAAGCAGTTCAAGTGTGACCGGTAAGGAACAGTCCATATGCAATGTCAGGTTGTACATACACTGGAATATATGAAAGAGAGAGGTTCCTGAATGTGATTATAAGTGTGAATGATCCTGCACAGCATAACGATTCGTTGTTGTAAGCACCCACATTTCAATGTCTGCAATAATAAAACATAAGCATGCAATGAAGCTGAAAAAATGTGAATGTAACAAGTGTAAATGACTCTTATTGCTTTTTTATGAACTTATTTCATGGTATTTATGCAATTGTGTCATACTGTGAGGTGGCTGAACAGTTGAAGTGTATTTCAGTATCGGGCAAACCAATGATTTGTAAACAGCTGACTTTCATTTTTTGTTGCATTTTAAAATCTTCATTTAAGGTAATCATTTTGATGGCCTTGTTATTTGTGCTTTTGTATATTACAGCATTGTAACTGCAACTATTGTCTTGGCAGTGTTGTGTGTATGAACAAATAAATAAATTACATGATGGCTCTGCATTCCATTGCTGTGGAATGTGGATATATGCCTGTATGTAATTGAAGCCATGCATCATTTTGTAGTAAGCCGCAGAAAACCTCAATAGCCGCAGCTTTTTTTCTAGCCTTGCATTGTGGCAATGTTTGTTTTTGGAGGTTTCCTGTAGTAGCTGTACTGAGTGTCAATGTTTATTTTTGAGGCTTTATGTACTAGTTGTACTGAGTGGGGAGTATGTTGCACCAATAGTACAAAGCTATCTTAATATTTTCTTGCCTTGCATTGTATTAATTTCGAGATTTTATGTATTAACTGTACTGGAGTAGAAGCATGTCCTCTGAATCTGACTCGTACAGAATTGACCAGTTCATATGTAAAAATAAAGAAACATGTTTTTCATCTTTTTGTGTGGAAAGCAATTTGTTACGAGGACTGAAAACTTCATTACAATGTGCTCAAATTTTTAAACCTTTTCACATGCCATATGAATGAGACATAAAATATGATAAATGGCATAGACATACATAAGTTTCACTCTGACACAACACTAAAATATATACCAAGCAAGAGCAGGCTGTAGGCTATTTTACCTATCCAGAAACCCTCCACATGTATTCTAAACTATGTCAACATTTAGCCCGATATAGTTGCATAATTCACTCTTTTTCGTTAGGATTAAGGAACATCAATCAGTAGCACATTTACAACATTTGTATGAATTGGCTTGTGTAGACAGCACAAGTTATGTAAATGGACTTGAACATGTGGGCAAGTAAGCTAATCACAAATGTAACTAAAAGGTTTTGGGAATATATCTTATATACTTTGGGATATACTTTATTGTCATGATATATACAAAATAAAAATTGTTTACTTCATGTAAAAGGACCAAAAAGTAATTGAGCTAAAAAACTTATGGTCCTTTTTAGGCCCTTCTAATTTCCAAGGAATGTTATACATGTCTTGCGTGAGTTATTTCAGAAAAAAATATACATAAAACTAATTGAGTTAAGAGATTTGGCATTTTTAGGCTCTTCATGTTTTCAAAGGTTAAGATGGAAGCACACAAAACACAATCTCTAGAACTATTTGCTCGTATTCAGCTTTTAAGCACAGCCAAGTACATTTCAGGAGCAAGCAAGCTTGTGTCACCCAAACACCATTGAACTATTTAAAGAAATGCATCGAAACTTGAACTGAATATTTGAACCAATTTTGTTTTAATACATAAGTGCCGTTGGAAATACATGGTTCACCGGTGCATACATGCATACGTACGTACAACAAGCTGTTTTCAAAGGTTCAGGTGAAAGCACATGAAACAAAAGTTTTTTGCTCTTATTCATATTCAGACAAATAAACACAGCCAAGTACGGTTCTTAAATGAGCAAGCTTGTGCCAAGCCAACGAAACTCTCCGATTGACCATTTCAAGCAATGCGTGAAAACTTAAACTGAAAATTTGACGTAGTTTTGTTTCAACAACCTAGTACTGCAAAACCTTTTTTTAACTTTTTATAATAAAATTTTATGTGCTTTTTTATTGAGGGGAAGTATAGATGGATGAATGGCATTATTGAGGTCTTTCAGTGTTTAGAGCACAGAGGGCAGCTGCTACGTCAGAAGTGAGAGGCCTTGCCCCTCGACTGTGTCATGCCCTCTTATAGATAGCCCAGAGCTGTGCCTCAAGATTCGAGGTGCATAGAGATCATTCGCACTTTTCCTTGGTAATCCTGGCTCCTTGTGCCTTGAGGCAATGCCAGAGCATGTGAGTGAGACTAGGTGTAAGTATCTCTCCGGAATCTAATTCAGGTTGAATTGTCTGTTATATTTTTTGTGTATTGTGTATATAATAGGAAGTTATTTACTATTTACCAGTTTAATGAAAGGATTATTCATTGCACAAATATATTTGAATGATCTTTTGCATAAATATCATAACATAAATTGTGCAAATGTAAGTATGCATACAACTAAGGTGATCACAAATGAAATTACTTTGATAATTATATGATATACTTATCTAATTTGCTGTAGCATATATTTGCATCTCATGATATATACTAATTAAAATTGGTTATTTCTTGGGGTTGCATGTGTACAGCTAACTAATAGAGCTGAAGAAAATTTGGGTACTTCAATAGCAGAAAAAGTTATACTTGCCTAGATATTCAGTCTAATAAGTTCTATTCATGTTCTACATTCATTCTTAAGGGTGACATTGAGCCCTATGCAAGTCCTATAGATGTTCTCCATTCAGCCCCATTAGCTCCTATATTGTGCTAGATGCGACCTACATAGCATTCCCATAGCTCCTACATGCCCCTATATGTTCTTCCCAGGTCCCATTCAGCTCCTACATAGCTCCTACATACCCCTATATACGTCCCATTCAGCTCCTACATAGCACCACGAGGGTCCTGTATAAGCCCTATATACCCCATTTGGTCCTCCCACAGCTCCTGTATTAACCCCTGTAACCCCTGTATTGAAGCATACGAATCCTGTATGAAATTATATGGGTTTTTTCCGTAGGGAAGTGCGAAGGTTGAAGTAGGTTAAGTTATGAAGCGTCATAAAACCGCATTAAGCAATGTCAGATATTGAGACGCAGTGTTTTTTTTCCATTAGAAGTCGAAAATAGCTACATCTAATGTGAAACGATTGAAACCGTCGTAATGTTGCAGAAAGCATCGTAAAGTAGCGAGTAAAACGTTTTCTAACGCTTGAAGTGTGAAAGTTAGGTTAGGTTGAGTATTGTTGGTTAAGGCTAGGTAGCGTCATGAAACCACCAAAAACAACGTCATCTAACGAGACAGTGTTGTTTTGTTGCGAGTACGAAACTGCGATGTGTGAAATATTGTGAAAGCACAAAAAACGGCGTCAACTAGCCAGATACTGCGTCTTGTACCGTTACAAGTGCGAAACTGCTATTTTGTGATATTCTCGTGAAAGCGCATGCAAGCATCGCGAAACCTTCAAGAATGATGCCATTTAGCGAGATACAGCGTTCTGTACTGTACTAAGTTGGTGAAAAACTGTGAGGTCATGCAAATATCGTAGTTGTGAACGAAACAGTGTAACAGAGCGTTTTTAGATACAAGTGCGAAGGTTAGGTTAGGTTAAGTGATGAAGCGTCATAAAACTGCAATAAACAATGTCAGCTATTGAGATGCAGTGTTTTTCACCATTAGAAGCCGGAAACTGCGATATCTAATGTGAAAACGCATGAAACCGTCATAATGTTGCAGAAACCATTGTAAAGTAGCGAGTGAAACGTTTTCCAACACTAAAAGTGCGAAGGTTAGGTTAGGTTGAGTTATGTTAGTTTAAGCTAGGTAGCGTCGTGAAACTACCGAAAACGACGTCATCTAACGAGATAGTGTTGTTTTGTTGCGAGTACGAAACTGCGATAGGCGAAGTATTGTGAAAGCACACAAAACGGCAGTGAACTAGCCAGATACTGCGTCTTGTACCGTTAAAAGTGCGAAACTGCTATTTGTGATATTCTCGTGAAAGCGCATGCAAGCATCGTGAAACCTTAAAGAACGATGTCATTTAGCGAGATACAGCGTTCTGTACTGTACTAAGTTGGTGAAAACTGTGAGGTCATGCAAATATCGTAATTGTGAACGAAACAGTGTAACAGAGCGTTTTAGATACAAGTGCGAAGGTTAGGTTAGGTTAAGTTATGAAGCGTCATAAAACCGCATTAAACAATGTCAGCTATTGAGATGCAGTGTTTTTCACCATTAGAAGTCGGAAACTGCCATATCTAATGTGAAAACGCATAGAACCGTCGTAATGTTGCAGAAAGCATTGTAAAGTAGCGAGTAAAACGTTTTCTAACGCTAGAAGTGCGAAGGTTAGGTTAGGTTGAGTTATGTTAGTTAAGCTAGGTAGCGTCAGTGAAACTACCGAAAACGACGTCATCTAACGAGATAGTGTTGTTTTGTTGCGAGTACGAAACTGCGATAGGTGAAATATTGTGAAAGCACACAAAACGGCAGTGAACTAGCCAGATACTGCGTCTTGTACCGTTACAAGTGCGAAACTGCTATTTGTGATATTCTCGTGAAAGCGCATGCAAGCATCGTGAAACCTTAGAGAACGATGTCATTTAGCGAGATACAGCGTTCTGTACTGTACTAAGTTGGTGAAAAACTGTGAGGTCATGCAAATATCGTAATTGTGAACGAAACAGTGTAACAGAGCGTTTTTAGATACAAGTGCGAAGGTTAGGTTAGGTTAAGTTATGAAGCGTTATAAAACCGCATTAAACAATGTCAGCTATTGAGATGCAGTGTTTTTCACCATTAGAAGTCGGAAACTGCGATATCTAATGTGAAAACGCATGAAACCGTCGTAATGTTGCAGAAAGCATTGTAAAGTAGCGAGTAAAACGTTTTCTAACGCTAGAAGTGCGAAGGTTAGGTTAGGTTGAGTTATGTTAGTTTAAGCTAGGTAGCGTCGTGAAACTACCGAAAACGGCGTCATCTAACGAGATAGTGTTGTTTTGTTGCGAGTACGAAACTGCGATATGTGAAATATTGTGAAAGCACACAAAACGGCGTGAACTAGCCAGATACTGCGTCTTGTACCGTTACAAGTGCGAAACTGCTATTTTGTGATATTCTCGTGAAAGCGCATGCAAGCATCGTGAAACTTTAGAGAACGATGTCATTTAACGAGATACAGCGTTCTGTACTGTACTAAGTTGGTGAAAATTTGTGAGGTCATGCAAATATCGTAATTATGAACGAAACAGTGTAACAGAGTGTTTTATATACAAGTGCGAAGGTTAGGTTAGGTTAAGTTATGAAGCGTGATAAAACCGCATTAAACAATGTCAGCTATTGAGATGCAGTGTTTTTCACCATTAGAAGTCGGAAACTGCGATATCTAATGTGAAAACGCATGAAACCGTCGTAATGTTGCAGAAAGCATCGTAAAGTAGCGAGTAAAACGTTTTCTAACGCTTGAAGTGCGAAAGTTAGGTTAGGTTGAGTAATGTTGGTTAAGGCTAGGTATCGTCATGAAACCACCAAAAACGACGCCATCTATCTAGATAGTGTTGTTTTGTTGCGAGCGCAAAAGTGCGATATGTGAAATATTGTGAAAGCACACAAAACGGCTAGAACTAGCCAGATACTGCGTGTTGTACCGTTACAAGTGCGAAACTGCTATTATATAATGTGATATTCTCGTGAAAGCGCATTCAAGCGTCTTGAAACTTTAGAGAACGATGTCATTTAGCGAGATACAGCGTTCTGTACTGTACTAAGTTGGTGAAAATTTGTGAGGTCATGCAAATATTGTAATTATGAACGAAACAGTGTAACAGAGTGTTTTATATAAAAGTGCGAAGGTTAGGTTAGGTTAAGTTATGAAGCGTGATAAAA